GTGTGGGTATGGGGGGGCAAATGTGTGGGTATGGGGGGGCAATGTGTGGGTATGGGGGGCAATGTGTGTCTATTGGGGCAATGTGTGGGTATGGGGGGGCAGTGTGTGTGTCTATGGGGGGCAGTGTGTGTATAGAGTGTGTACACCCCCCCCCCCAAGCCTACCTGTCACTGGAGTCTGTTGCTGGGGGTCAGGCAGCCATCTTTAGCAGCAGCATGGGCTGCTACATTACGGCGGGGGCGGGGCTTATCGGCGGGAGGCGGGGCTTCGTTTGGGGGCGTGGCCTGTGCCGGGGAGCCAATCAGTGCTCCCTCCAGCCACAGACAGCCCCCAGCCCCTCTCTCCTGCATTCCCCCGGGCTGTGACAGACGGGAAGCCCATGGCCAGCAAGGTGCCGGCATTTGGGGGGGCCCAAGGGGGGGCACAGCATGATGTAGGGGGGGCCATGGCCCCCTCTGGCCCCCCCCTAGCGACGCCACTGTCCCCAGACACCGCCTCTTCCCCTCACACAAAGCACCGCGCAGGCATGGAGGAGACCTGGCACTGAGAGAGCAGGAAGTGATGTCACAGATCATCCCCAGACACCGCCTCTTCCCCTCACACAAAGCACCGCGCAGGCATGGAGGAGACCTGGCACTGAGAGAGCAGGAAGTGATGTCACAGATCATCCCCAGACTCCGCCTCTTCCCCTCACACAAAGCACCGCTCAGGCATGGAGGAGACCTGGCACTGAGAGAGCAGGAAGTGATGTCACAGATCATCCCCAGACACCGCCTCTTCCCCTCACACAAAGCACCGCGCAGGCATGGAGGAGACCTGGCACTGAGAGAGCAGGAAGTGATGTCACAGATCATCCCCAGACTCCGCCTCTTCCCCTCACACAGAGCACCGCGCAGGCATGGAGGAGACCTGGCACAGAGAGAGCAGGAAGTGATGTCACAGATCATCCCCAGACTCCGCCTCTTCCCCTCACACAGAGCACCGCGCAGGCATGGAGGAGACCTGGCACTGAGAGAGCAGGAAGTGATGTCACAGATCATCCCCAGACTCCACCTCTTCCCCTCACACAAAGCACCGCGCAGGCATGGAGGAGACCTGGCACTGAGAGAGCAGGAAGTGATGTCACAGATCATCCCCAGACTCCGCCTCTTCCCCTCACACAGAGCACCGCGCAGGCATGGAGGAGACCTGGCACTGAGAGAGCAGGAAGTGATGTCACAGATCATCCCCAGACTCCGCCTCTTCCCCTCACACAAAGCACCGCGCAGGCATGGAGGAGACCTGGCACTGAGAGAGCAGGAAGTGATGTCACAGATCATCCCCAGACTCCGCCTCTTCCCCTCACACAAAGCACCGCGCAGGCATGGAGGAGACCTGGCACTGAGAGAGCAGGAAGTGATGTCACAGATCATCCCCAGACTCCGCCTCTTCCCCTCACACATTTTACATTTTTCCAACCTGTTACTCCGGTCTTTCATTCCTGCATCTACAAAATATTTGACCTATGCATCTGTCTTCATTTTTACCAGCACAATATACGGACACAGCTACAGCTTATGCAGGTTGTTGATTTATTCAGTCCTCAATTTACCATAATTCTGTCATTTAGCATTATCATTATTACTGTAATAATGCAATACGTTGTGATAATACTCTTAGCTGTAATACTACACTGAGCTGTAAAAAAACACTGAGCTGTAATAATACACTGAGCTGTAATAATACAATAAGCTGTAATACTACACTGAGCTGTAATAATACAATGAACTGTAATAATACATTAAGCTAAAATAATACAATGAGCTGTAACAATACACTGAGCTGCAATAATACACTGAGCTGTAATAGTACAATGTGCTGTAATACTACAATGAGCTGTAATAATACAATAAGCTGTAATAACACAATAAAAGGTAATAATACAAAACACTGTAAATAAAATAAAATGTAATATTAGAACTAGCTGTTATTCTATACAAGGCAGTGGTTATTGTGCTAAGTGTCCATTGAATGATATATTGTTATACACTCAGTGACAATAAGCTGTTTGACTGTTGATAATTATTCATTAAGAGTTGCCTTTAGCTGCGTTTGTTATTGTGCTATCACCTTACCCAATGAAATGATATATTTTTACTATAATATATAATAAGTACATACAGTATGTATTCTTAGATAGATTGCTGTGTAACATCTACTTTTCATAAATTAGTTTAAGCCGACCAGACAGGTCACGGTTACTCCTGAACATGATAAGAAAATACTAAATAATTTATACCACAATACATAAATTGGAAGACAAGTTGGCTAATTGTTACATTTAGATTTTTTTGTGTAGAAAACATAACTCTATTCACATTTTCATGTTTATTGTATAAAACCTTGTTTTCGCTGGTCTCCCAGAATGCAATGCAAACATGCTAAGGCTCATTTCACAGGTGCCATCTCTCAGCTCGCTGGTTAATACATTGCTGTTTATGTCAACCATGGGTAAACATGGAAATGAACCAATGCCCACTCTTCTACATCCATTTTGCCCTTTCTGTGCTCACCAGCATGGCATTGCCTTTGTAGATAGCTCAGCAGTGGCTTCAAATGAATCAATATATGTACACTGTAAGCAGATATGAATTATGCAGAAGAATGACACGGAGAATACTCTGTTCCGTTTTTATCCCTTAGAGTCTTTCAATCAGTTTTACAAAACGCAAATAATAAATATTCCCAGCGAGGGACACAGAGAAATGCTGTCATACATTTACTACAACAGCCGTATATGAATCACAGCTACTCAGATTCAACCAAAACTCAAACACGCGCACTAAAAGGAGGACGTAATGTCAAAACGCCTGGCTACTCCCCTAAAACTAGGACGTCATTTCCCATAAACCCCTCCTTGGCAGAGGATAACACAGCACTCCAGGGGCGGACTGAGCACTTGGGCACTTCGGTCATGGACCGAGGGCCCGAGGCTCTTGGGGGCCCGTCTGCCTGCAGTATTGTAATATCTCAGCTGAGGAGCTCAACAAGCTTCCCAGCCAGCCTGCACTCAGTGAAGGGCCCGCACGACCTTCTGCGGGCCCTTGTTATTAAATAAGTTCCCCCCTTTGTAGGCCGCAGCAGAGAGCTTTGTAGCACACTTAGAGACAGCCCAGGGGCCTTATCAAAGACCCTCCAGGCTGCCTCTTACTGTGCCTGTCTAGTACAGCATGTGGGCTCCAGGAGCCCATGGATCAGCGCAGCTAGGGGAGTGGACCTTGACAGAGCCAGGAGGTAGGCATAACAGCCAAAGGAAGTTGAGTGACAGCTAGCAAGCTGGGTGGGGCGGAGCTACGATGGGAGTATTTATACCACCCATTTTGTGAAGTGGCCATCTTAACTAAACCTAAACTTACCTGTCAGTTGTCTCTCAGGTTTGAGTATGTTTTTTTTCTTTCTTTTTCAGATGGATCCTGTCGAAGAATTCATTGCAGGTGTTCGTGTGGCGGTGAGGGAGTGCGGCATTGCGTGGCTGCAGGAGCGGATGGCATCCTCTGGGCCTTCTAGTGGGCCCGCGGTGGGTTCAGAGTGACAGCCCGCTCGGAAGATGAGGCCTTCCCAACGTTTCAGCCTTGGCCGGCACAGTGAAGGAGGAGCCCATTCCCAGGAGTTGCTCCCACGGCAGACAGTTCCGGAGCAGGCCACGTGGTCGAGGTGGAGGTCGGCAGCGAGGGAGCTGGGCCTGAGGTGTCGGCCGCAGAGGCCCCTGACAGGCGGACTACATAAGGCAGTGTTGCTGGAGCAGGTCGGGGACTGGAGGCAGCACGTCTGCGACTCCCAGGTCAGGCTGCACCCTGTTGACTGGCGGATGGCAGGAAAGGTCAGGTGATGAAGATGGCTAGCTCCGGTGAGGCTGTAAGTGCCGCCAGTTTTGCGACCAACACTGGAGACGCCCCTGCAGCTCTCGGTGAGTCGGGCCCCCTCAAGCCTTGTATCCTTGGGGAGTGTGGGGCAGGACGTGGGTGCCCAGGGCCACGGAGGGGAACAGGCTGGGCAGCAGGAAGGAGTCCTCGGATGGGCCCGGTCAGCTGGGGTAGAGACCAATGTCACAAATGGGGCTAAGCCAGGCGGCTGTTTCAGGCAGCCAGGCAGGGATAGGACATAGCGGTTCTACAGCCAGGGATGTGCCTGGCAGGCCTTAACTGGCATGATAGAAGCCCTGATAGCAGGGATGTGGCCCAAACAGGCCTGGGGGGCACAGCACGGCCCGCACGGTGTCAGGTGGGAGAGAGTGCGTACAGCTACATGGAGCCAGGCAGTTGGATAGGCCGGATTGGAGGAGTCATGCTGTCTGGGAGTGCAGGGAGCTCTGCTCTAGGATGAGGGATAGCGGGTCAGCAGGTGTCCCAGTCCAGGCTAGTTTTCAGGAGCGTTCCAAGGATAGGACCGAGGATAGACGTTCCACAGCGGATCTTCTTCCCACAGGTCAGCAACTCCTTCTTCTAAGGTTCTGAGGCAGGACCCGGCAGCTCGATGCAGAAGTTATGACGCTACTCCTGAACCTCTCGAGGTGGATGGAAGGAAAGTGGCCCCGCGGTCTTCTACGGCAGGGGGTTCTGGCGGTGACTCTTCTTCTGTGCTACACTCGGGGAATCTTTTGGATAGCTTGAGGTCTGTTCTTAACTCTTGGGCAGTAGGGGATACACAGGAAGCAGGAGTGTGGTGGCATCGATGGTTCTGGTGGCTCCGGCGGGCAGTGTTCTCGGCGGGACTACGGTGACTTCACTCAGGCTGGGGACATCAGTGGTGGTCAGTGAACTGGCGGATCCAGGGGGGGCAAAGGGGCAATTTCCCCCCCCCCCCGAGGCTCTCCCCTGCCGGCTAATGCAGGGCTGGCATTGTCCAAGTGCCAGCCCTGCAATGTGCCTGCGGACCAGGGAGGGAGATCAGAGATCTCCCTCCCCGGTCCGCAGGCACTGTGCTGACAGCCGGCAACGCTCCAAATCTTGCGAGAGTGAACTATAGCCCTGGAGCAAAGGGCTAGAGTTCACCTCACCACCACTGGGACCACCAGGGAATCCCCACCGGACCACCAGGGATGTAGAAATGTCCCCCCTCCTCCTCTGCTCGCAGGGTGGCCGTCCGTTCGGTACTTTGCGGGGTGACGGGGTTAAGTGGCGGCACACACCTGGAGCTGGGTGGTCGGTCGTTCGTACCGACGAAAAACGCTTTATAATCGGTTCGTAGAGTCCGTTCGCCTGGCCTGCAGGTCATTAAACAGAGTCTCAATAAACAGAAGTGTACATTAACAATATAACCAGTCTGTGGAACAGAGACAGTGTAACACCCCCATACACACATTGCCCCATACACACACATTGCCCCATACACACACTGCCCCCCATACACACATTGCCCCACACATACATACAGTGCCCCCCATTCACACACTGCCCCCCATACACACATTGCCCCATACACACACTGCCCCCATACACATAT